CTGCGGTGCCCGGGTACAAATGGCGCCCTAATGGGTGGCGTTTAAAGGATACGCATCCCGAGAGTGTGCGTGGACGGATCTAATAAAAGAAGCTCCTTCTTTTACCTCGAGGAAACGAGACGACGATTCAGCAGCAGCAACGCGATATTTGATAGTTGTTAGCGCGGTGATGTGGGCTCGTATTGTGCCCCTCCTCTTCTTGGCTTTTTTCCGCTGACTTGGTGCTTTTTCTTGTTTTTATTGAAGGAAGCACCAAACTTAACTGTCACGCGGTAGGGGGGGGGAGGATATGTTGTCATTTTTGTAACGAGCTGCAACTGCCACTTTCAAAGATGACAAGTAGGTACGTGTATACATACAAGTAGAATACGGGGCGCGAGATCTTTTTCCACCCTCTAAAAGACACGTTCTCATAAACGCGCACCAATGTATTTCCCTTCCTTTTCTTCAATTCAACGTAAGAATGTGCACAAAAATAAATTCAGCAGTCGTAAAGGAGACATACTCCTTCTTATACTTCGCTCGGGAGCTCTTCTCTCTCTCTCTCTCTAGGGAGATAGGGGGGCAGTGGGGGGCCGTACAAACCGTGGGGGGGGACAAAGATGGCGACGCGTCGGTGATTTTTCCGATGGGACTAGTTTTCTCCCTCTCTCTTGCCGCGACACTTGGCTTTTATATACACGTTTATACTCTCTTTTTTTTTTTTTAACTTCACCTCCCCCTCTCTCACTGGTCTTTTACAGCCCAATCAAACGCGATCGCGCGAAAAGGAACACTATATACAGTGGAGGAAAGTGTCCCGCGTTAAGAGACCGCAAGAGCAAAAGAATCCGTATGGATGTTTTAGCCTACAAATATATAATATATAAATGACATTGTCGTATTTTTCATTTAAGACGCAAGTATGTGTGACTAGCAATCTCGACAGTTGGCTCTGTATTTGCTCGCAATTAAATACCAAAGAGAGGAGGAGGAGGAAAATCGATTGCCCTTCAGCGCGAGGGAAAGAGTCGCCTACAGGATACATAGATATACATCACAGCACACAAAGAGAGAGAGAGAGAGGGAGAGAGCTCGAATGAGGTAGATTTACGATAATTGTTAACTAGAGAGAGAGAGAGAGAGAAGCTACAACGATCTCGAGAGGTTTATTTGCCACACGATCGACCTCGCGAGATTTGCTCTATACGGAGGAAGAAGAAGAAGAACAACAACACGAAGGGAAGAGAAACCAAGATTTATCTCCATCTTGAACTGGAAAAACGCTGCCCGCTAAAGGATTACACCGCTTGTTCTTTTCTAGAGCAGAAACAACGATCTCTCACCGCGTGATCAGACTCTCCTCCGTCCAACTACTGCGGTCGAACGATCTCTTTCGCGATCTATTATACGCACACGATATTCTCCTGTACCATCTCGTACGTACATATATACATATGTAGGTATATCGAAAGGAAGCTTCGTGACATTTATTGCGAGCGTGACGACGTCGTAGGCCGCCGGGAAATCAAATTGGTTTCTAATGCTAAACAAACGAACCAAGGGTAATTCGCATCGGCGCTATATGTGTACAAGTGGCTTCTTCTTCGTATATCGACCATACAGATTGAGACATCTGTGAGCTGTTGACATGTGGCTTCGATGATTTTTTTTTCCCTCGCACACCAAAGTCGCAACACATTTTTTATTCATCCATGATTTATTGGTTGGCAATTCGTTGGCGATTAATTTTATAGTTCCCATAAATCATGGAAATATCGCGTTACAATTCCAACCGGTGAACAAATATAACGAATACGGGAAAAATCATTGTTGAGAATTGATGAAGATTGGGCCTACAATGGTTTAAAAAAATATTTTTCCGCACTCGGGTGGTTTTGGGAGGCTGGTACTTCCTTGGGCGAAAAAGCAGTTTTCCGGAACTCGTTCGAAAAGTCTCCTTTACGAACCTCGTTACGTCCCTCGCCTTCGGCTCGGGCCGCAAACCTCTCGGTTCGCAAATAGAGACTCTTCAAACTCGTAGGAAAACTACTATTTGTCGAAACGAGTATATAGATCGATATAGATGAATTATCCTTCGGTTCAAAGTGAGAGTGGAGTACCTGTTAACAGTAAAGTCATACACGACTCGGACCTATATGTATATACACAGCACCGATGTATGGCGTTCAAATACAAGCTGAGGTAGGTGTAATATAACGTACACACATGCACAAAAGACGCACCAGCCGAGGAGCACTTTCACGGTCGTCGATCCTTCGATTAAATTCGATTAAAATCAAATTCCAGAACTGACAACGTATATAACACACACGCGCACACCCACAGATATGTGGATATATATAAGACACGTGGGCGTTCATTGATAAAACTCGTCGTGAATCGACTTATATATAATTATACGCTCGAGCTGTGGCCCTCTGGCAATAGAAAATCAAAGTAAGCATGGTAATTATCTGATTGCAACACTTTTTATTTTCGATTTAGCCGCTAAAATTCGTCTCTTGTGTACATTGTGTGTGTACCCGATACGTGTAACTTTATTTCTCATTGATTTTGTATTTACAGATATGTATGCACACACAGGCATATATTATATACAAGATAAAAAAAGCTGCACGTGCAATACGTCAGATAAGTTGGTAAACGTCAGTAATGCAAGACTGCACATTGGGCGAATCGCACGAGCGACGGAGGAATTGTTATTAATTGTTTGTTTTGATGCACGTGCTTTTATTGTGTTTCTGTACATGTATAGCGATGGTGATAACTGATAATCGTGTCGAAAAAAAAACCTTTTTTTTTTCCTCCCCCAAGTCAAAACGATCGAGTAAACGTGTAATTACACTGCACGAATGGCGTATGGTTATATGCAAAAGCATACACGTATAAACAAGACGATCGATCTGTAATAGTATATACACTGCAGCATTGCAGAGAAAAACAATCGCGATTGAAAAATACTTTCTCGTAGGAGCGTGAAAAGCTTGTACTCGCGTTATCACGTCCACACCTCATTCTTTCTCGAAATATATATGTATATATATACCCATGAATCAATAAATCATTCAAACAAATCGAGAATATCTAAAGGGAAAAAAGCAGCATTTTTACACATAGAAAATGATAGAGCCCCCCCCCCTTCGCCCCAAATAATTGTGTGAGAAAACAATAATGTCGAGATGAGTCGTCCCTCTCATTTTCCACAAGGCCAAGGTTTCATTTGCCCTTCCTCCCTTTTTTTTCTTGCCGAGTTTATCGCAGCCGACAGCAACTTGTGTACGTTATATATACACATTGTATACACGATAATGCATACTTGGTATAAAACTGCGCGATCTCATTAGCCCGATAACATTTTTTACCTATCTATACATATATACCCACTTGGCACAATACATTGTGGCCCCAACAATAATTGTTAAACGATAATGCACACGACTTGACCTTTTTTTTTCCTCGACTTTGTAAAATATGTTCGTGCCGTTCGTAACGCATCAGGCATTTTACAATTGCTGAGCTAATTTAGTGTCGCTGGACAAGATTTTCTCGCGCTATCAATCTCCCAATTCATTGAATGTATATATATATATTATTAACAACAACAGTTACATCTTTAAGCGTCATCGTATTATAAGCGGCGTTGTAGCTTGTGTAAAAAAAAAAAAAAAAAAAAAACTTATGTATAACGGACCCACTATCTATCTTAGTGTATATATACTTATGTGTGTACACGTGGGTAATAATATAATTGACGCCGATGACACGCATAAATCGAACGCTCGATCGGATATGCATGTATTTTATGTATACGTGTACACACACATGTAACGTATGCGTATTTCACAAGCCGGCAATTTAGAGCGCGCGCGCTATTAATTCAAACGGCAGATTAATATAATTATGCAAATAGCTCTGCAAACTACGTTTAATGCCTTTTTTTTTTTTTTTCTTTTCCAGCCACATATGATACTCGCACGAGACTTAGAAGCCATACATTATGTGTATACGTACATCGGCAGCTCTGTTCGACAAACAATGCAGTTTAATTGGCCAGAGGGAAGAAGCACCTCTCTCGTGCGCTAAATGAAAAGCGCTTCGTGCGTTTTCAATGAAATAGTTGAATAGGCTGTAATCACACGTGTGTTGCGTGATATTTTGTAAATTAACGCGTCTGTAATGTAATTGCCGCGACGATAAGCGCTATATATGGCAATATGAATAATAAATTAATATCATCGATACGAAGGAAGTGCTTCTTAACACGCGTTTGAGAGCTATTACGCGATGTTTATACGTTTCGAGCGCGTTGCGTTTGCTCAGATAACCGCGTGTTGTATATACACATGTATATATAGGAGCAATCGATAGCGCGTTGATCTCGTGTACACATAATACGTATGTATATACGCATGTGTGTGTGTGTGTGTGTGTATAGACGTCGGAAGCGAGTGAAACGTTGTTGGTGATAATTTTTCATTCGTGCCCGTACCGGCGCGTCTAATTATAAATATATTGATAAGCGGGTAAATAGAAATAATCTCTGATGCTGACGTGTATATACGAATTATGTATATCCATAGCGTGCAAGTGTGTGATATTTGATTGCAATGTAACGTGAAAGCAATAGTTTTCCTTTATTGGCAACTTTTACTCTGTTCATTGTATATATGTACAAATCACTATATCTAATCATCATAAAAGTACATCTGTTAATATAATATACATCCAACAGCCATCACACATCGCTCCGTTGCACGCGCGACGTCAAGTTGATCGTGTACTCTCGAGTGTGTGCAAGATGTAGATATAAAAAATAAAGAGCCAAGGAGGGTATAAATGTAGAGTCATCGACGGCACGTGTTTTCCCACAAAACAGTTTCCCCGAACAGAGGATAAAAATCTCTTCCCCCCCCCCCCCAAAAAAAAAAAGTCAAAACAGAAGAATAAGCTACTTGTGCGTATAAATATGTGTGTATGAATGAGAGCTCTGTACTCACCTCCCGGAAATCTTTGGGGGAATATGCGGCCGTGCCTGGACAACAGCCACGGGTACAGGGGATAGCTGTCCCTCGGCGGCTGGTGAGGATGGGGCGGCGGATGCGGTCCCGCGGGCACACCGGCGTGCGGATACGGGCCGTGCGGTGGCCCGTGGTGGGCCTGAAGCGCCACAGCGAGATTCGCCGCCTGAAAGTGCTGGGCGGCGGCCAAATTCGCGGCGAGGGCCAGGTGCTGGGAGTGCTGGTAAGCCGCCTCGTTCTGCGACTGGGGCCCACTGGTGGCCCCGGGCAGCCCGTACAGCGTCTTCAGTTGCTCGGCGGCGACGGCCGCAGCAGCCGCGGCACCGGGAGGCGGCCCCAGGTAATTGGGACTCGGTCGGACGACTCCCGGGGGCGGCTGGGGGTGGCTGGCGGAGGAGCTCGAGACCGCCGGGGGCACGGGCGACTCGCTGCTCCTCCTCGACGCGACAGTTACGGAGAGCCGATGCGCCGCCGGAGGACTCGGCGAGCCGTTAGGCGTCGAGCCCCCGCTGTGGTTGCTCGTAGCGAGGGACCTCGCGCTGTAGTCGAGCTGCTGGTGGTGCTGGCCCGTCGGCCGGGGCTGACCGGGCCGATGATGCCCGACATGGTTCGCTACCTGGGGCGGTGTGACGTGATGGTGCGGCTGGTGGTGGTGGTGGTGGTGAAGGTGGTGGTGGTGCGAGGGCGTCCGCCTGGAGTTGGGGTACGACTCGACGGAGGAGCTCCTGGAGGGGGGTCGGTCGGATTCCTCGGAGTGGGCCCCGGGCGAGCGGGTGCCGACGTGCCGGAGTCGCGGGGACGAGGAGCCCTCGACGAGGTCCGTCGGCTGAGGCGAGTGTTCGTCGCGCTCGATGTCGACGAGCCGCGTGGCCGAGCCGTCCTCGTCGTTGCTACTGCTCCGGTTGCTGAGACGACCGCCACCGCCGCCGACGATCGAGTCGATGCTGAAGCCGATCTTGGGCTTCGAAGGCACCGGGACTATTGGCGTCGGCGCGAGCGGCATCATCGTACGCGGCGACACGGCGCCCGGCGTCAGGGCTCCAATTTTCAAAATCACCTTGACGGTTATTTTCGAACGGTTGGAAACAAACCTCTACGTCGATCGGCGCTACGGGGTTTTTTTTTTAATTTATTTATCGTTCGCTTCGTCTCCTCCGCGCACTTACGTGTCCAGCATTTTTAACAGCGTTCACTGGGGTCTTTCGTTTCGGAGTCTACGGTGCATCACTCAATTTAGCACTACTGATCGGGAGGTGTCATGTCACAGCAGACGAGCCAAGCAAATGGAGCACTTAACCTCCCGGCGACGAAGGTCAACGACACTACTAAAATAATAATTATGTACTTGCTATATAACACCTGTGTACTTTCGACACGAGAGGCACTGTTTGATCGTGTCGAACCTCCACCGTCGCGCGCACTAGGTCGATTCACTGAAACAATTTACGTCAACCAACAAAAGAGTCTTCTGCTCCGAAACGCTGGTTTTTCTTTTGTTGCCTTTTTTTTTGTTCCCCCTGACGTTCCACGCGCACGGAAATCGTCTCACTCTTACACATACGTGTATACATATGTATACACCAACGTAACTGCCGCGCTCCCGGTGCAGCCCGTGCGGAGGAGAGAGAGCTGCTGGCGCACCGACGGTTTGCTGGTGTTTGAAAGCCAAACGAAATTAGCCGGCTAAACGGCTCTCTCGCGCGCGAGGCCCAAGTAGTGGGAGCAGCGGCAGGAGAGGGGAGGCCATTTAACCCCCCTCCCTCTCCCCACTACTGGTGTTGTTTGCCGATTCGCCGGGGCCACGTGATCTCGTTCTACGCGAGAGAGGCGTGGCATTGGCGCACCTTCGCGAAGGCGTGGCTCGGTTTTGATTCGCCGAGAGGGAAGGAGGGGCGCCGCGGTGTCGCTGATCCAGCGCTGCGCTCCTACTGGTGTAGACCGATCGCTGGAGCACCTACCACTCGCCGGACCTCAACAAAAGTGGGAGGAGCTTCGAGTACCACCGGCCATGGGTCCACACAACACACACTCCGCTGGAATACATGACGCTCACTCTCTCTTTTGGTGGGTCTATTACTACCATATCAGTGGGGGGTGTTTACTTTTGTTCTCCCTTCCCTCGCCGCCCCTCCCCCCCTTTGACACTCCTTGATGCTCCCTTTTTTTTCTTCTCACTCTCCTCTGATGCTCTCGCGCTCGTTTGTTCAAACATCAGAGGGCATGCAGCATCCTATAGTCTCCTCCTGCTGGTTTATCACCTCGTTCTCTCTCGCTCTCTGCACCACTACACCACACGCTGCAATACACGCGTATGTACATTGCCGTCGAGCAATGAGAGCCATTTAATTAATACGTCTGGAGCCCTGCTGAAAAGGAACTCGAGCTCGGGCGTTGTATTACATATACTCTTGTTATCGTATATACGTATAGGTATGTACTATGCCGTACTTATTTGCCCTTGGCTGTGTTTTTTAAATACACGCCCCGTGAAAAAGAAAAGATTGTCTTTGGTACGGCTCTCGCGTGGCTGCTCATTTTCATTGTTACGATGGCACGGGTGCCCATACATGGTGGGAGATCGCGTTTCTTTTGTAAGTACGTCGAGGTGCAGCAGTGAGTGGGTTTTTTTTTTTTTTTTTTTTNAAGGGGGAGGTGCCAAGTGGCCGAGCGGGAGGAGGAGGGGACCAGGGATCCCCGGGAATTAGCGGCTATTTAAGCAAATTGATCGGCCCATTTCGTTGCGCGCCCCGAGTTCTCTACCACGCGAGCATTCTCTTTTTTTTTTTTTTTTTTCACTCTCTTCCTCGTTTTCTTGTTTTCTTTTTTTTTTTTTTTTTTTTTTTTTTTTTTTTTTTTTTTCAAGCATATACCTATACTTCTGGTGGCGTATGAGTAAACCAGCTCGTTTTGTATGTTAATTGCGCTCGTATAGATGTATACGTATTCATCCACACCCGGTGTGACATTTGAATTTGGATTTATGGCAGCCGGATTGACGTATTAGCTCTCGGTAGTTGGCCATTCTCTGTATTCTCAAAGGGATCGAATGTCACCGGCATTGTCTTTGAAATCGCGTCTCTCTCGGATCGTATATAAAAGCAACATTGGACGGTCGCGACGATGTTTGATATAAGTGCACTTGAGCAGCGGTCGATCGGTGATTTATGAGCTTGAAATCGTTGGATATTCAGGTATTTTTGCGAAAAACCAAAATATCCAACGCAGCGCAGTTAATCATGTTCTCGGCACCTAATAATTTTCCCAGCGCCGAGAGGAAACAAACGAAACAAAAAAACACATCTTGAACAAACAGACGCGTCCTCTCAACACATATTATTATGTACAATATATACATACGAGGATGGAAAACGAGTACGTATACGTCGTAAATATCCTTGCAGCCAATGGAATTTCAAATTACGCGCGTTTAACGATTCAACGCAACGAAAATGAGTTTCTCCGGTGTGTAAGAAGGTTGTACAATATAGGCGCGCGTGTAGGTTTTCCGTTTGCTAAAATAATACAAGGGGGGTTTTTCCCGCTCGCCATTAACATGCGCCTTCAGGGTATTAGCGCAAACAAGTGGCTTGACGTCTTATTCTCTACAAGAGACGATATGTATACGTGTACGTATAGATAGACGCAGTGTATGGGTGTATGGTTACGGCCACGGTCGGGTTTTAATGAATGGCTGGTGTGGAATTTATATGCGCGAGAGAGCCGTATAGAAGCGAAATTGCGACCGCTTGAGTAACGGCTGCATCTATATACACACATTATGTATGTAGGTACGTGCCCCCTCCCTCTCTCTCTCTTTAAGATCTTAAACATAATTATGTGGGCGAATGGTATAGGTTTGAACATTTTTACCTATATTTTTGTGTGCATTTAATTATTTACATAACATATAATTGATCGAGTAACCGCAAAACATTTTTTTTTTTTTTTCTGTCAAAAAAGAAGTTATTTTCATCAAGAATAACCAAAAAAAAATGCAACACATAAATTCACGCACAGACAAAATAAATCCCCGAATTTCATAATACAAATACTTGCGGGTACACCTACCTATACATATATGTGAAAGAAAGTTCAAAAGTATGATGCATTGTTGGTATGGCGAAAAAAAAACGATCTGACAACGATTTCCTTTAAAAAATGTTCTCGAACAAATTGAAATTTTCAACATTTCCCCTTACCTACAATAAAACTAAAGGATGATAAAAATAAAAATCCAAAGCCATGCTGTATATTGGTACAAATACGTGCAAATTACAAGCCGAGTTTATTTCCGCGCGAGCTCATTCTACAACCATATAAACAATGATCCACATCAATCCCCCACCCCTCATATCCCTTCTCTTATTCCTCCCAAGACAGCTTTTTATATACTCTAAATGTATTACATTTTGCATCACTGCGTTGGCACCGTATAACCAGTAGGTATTACTAGGACACGCGTGTGCATGTGTACGGAGGTACTAACCGTTGCCTGCGATAAATCACGCTCTATTACACGGTGAACTGCGTACTTATGTATACATATTATATGGACAAACACAGCAAAGTGAGCAGGCAGTTTAAGGTATTTTTGTATCATTATGTTGTCATTGTTATTGTTTCTCACCACGATCGTATATACTATCTACTATACCGGATCTATATTACGCATTAAATTTCTCTAATAAGACATATGTATGTATGTATCTGAGATTATGTTATGCGACTGATCATCAAGAAAATTTGATGATAAATTTTAATAAGTCAAAATGAAATTGTAATACGCTGAACCGGATTTTTATACTTGATTGACGTGCCCACACAAGAATTTTCTTTTTCTTTCTTCGCAAGCACAAACGATCGAAGGTGTGGTGATGAATGGATAAGAAATGGACCCAATTTATGAATACTATGTTCCTAGTTTCATTATGGCGGCATAAAGTTCGCTATGCAGTAGGTATATACAGGTCATAAGTGGTTCCATATCATATAAAAACGTAAAAATTCATTATTGCATCGATGCAAGATGGAAAAAATCAGCCAAAAATTTCATTATCGTACGTAGCAGGATATCAGTATTTTTTAAGTTTTATTGTGAGGGATGTAAAAAAAAAAAAACCAATCTAACATTATGAACCTTTACGCATGGATTTCTTATACTTGACAGGGATATAAAGGCAATTTTTCTGAACCAGTACCTATTCAACGTGAAACGTTTTAGTATCAAGATCACACAGTTTTAATATATCAAGTATAATATATCGAATAAATACATACAAAATTCGTCCTTTAGTAAAATAACTTTTCAACTTGTAGCAATGTAAAAAGTTTTTAATTTTCAATCACGTGGGTGTTATTGAAATTTAAAATAAATATTTTGCGAAATAACCCATATAACATATCAACTACCGTAGGCTGGACGAAGAAGATCCCTTTCGTGGATTAAAGGATGTAGAAAAAAAATTTCATTCATAAAATTTATATAATATATATACATGAGGCACACTCATCCAGACGCCAATTTTTTATCTCGATAGATTCATCTTACGCGTATGTACATTTATACATGACGTGTACTACAAAGGAATAATGTCATTTTCAATTATTTTTTGCGTCACACGGGCAGATTTGGCGTTGAGTGATGTATTGTATATTGCGCGACGCCACGTGTATACACGTATACAGAACATGTAGTATGTATGGAAAAATTGAAAACGGCCGTCGCAAAAAAAAAACCGTTGAGTCACGCAAAAAAAAGCGCGTCTTAACAAGCGATGTAAACGTGAAAATCGATACTATGGCATTGTTGAAGTTTTGCACAAAAGCAACGGGAGGATTGAAAAGGAGATGAAAAGGATGGTGATGTACCTATACCTACCGTTGATCGAGAGACACATGATTGAGTGTAAACGACAAAAAATTTCCAACAATCCCTGGTACGTCATTGTTATACCGAGGTATCCCAGGATTTCGAGTGTACCTATTCATTGGCATGTACAAATATACAAAAGTGGAAGCACTCCGCATCGATCTATCATTTTTTGTTGTTGTTTATTTCATATAGA